TGAGATTTTATTTATTTGACAGAGCGAGAGAGCACAAGCAGGGAGCAGCAGAGGGAGAGGGAGAAGCAGGCTCTCCACTGAGCAGGGAGCCTGATGCGGGACTCAGTCCCAGGACCCTGGGATCATGACCTAAGCCGAAGGTAGACGCTTAACCATCTTAGCCACCCAGGCGCCCCTCAGTGTACAATTTTAAGGTGCTTCATAGATAATGCTGTTCAGAGACAGGGAACAAAGCTTATGCATTCAGGAATTTCTTTTCTTTCTTTTTTTTTGGCTTTTATTTTTGTCCACATTGAATTTTCCCTCAGTTTACTTTAATTTTTAAAAAATTTTTATGTTAGATAGACTCCATGCCTAACATGGGGCTTGAACTCAAGACCCTGAGATCGAGTCACACGCTCTACTAATTGAACTTGCCGGGGGCTCCTCCCTCAGTTTACTCTTTGGAAATAAAATTATCTTAAAAGTACTAAAGCTGTTCCCTAAAGTGTTTTCTTTGTTATCTATTTTTATGTACTTAAGAAAAACTGATAATTTTTTAATGATACCAGTACCTCAGTTGTTAACAAAAGATACCATAAATCATAGATTTTTGTTTTCTCTTGAAATAAGATGAAATTCAGTTAATACATATTTTAGTTATGTGATAATTTGGGTTGATGAATATTTAATTGGCTGAACCTTATACTTTTTTTGTCTGTTAAATAATATGTTAACATTTATTATTATTATTATTTAGTAGTATAAACCAAGTTACAAAGGTAGGGTTAGCAGGTGGATGTGGATTGAGGTGGGAAACTAAGAGTATAAGGATGGTGAATTTAGCTAAATGTACTTACTTGGTTTTGTTTTGTTTTGTTTTAGGGAGAGAGCAAGCATGAGTGAGGAGGTCAGGGCAGAGGGAGAGGGAGAGAGAATTCCAAGCAGGCTTCATGCCCAGGGTGGAGCCCAAAACAGGCCTGATCTTATGACCCCGAGATCAGGGCCTGAGCCCAAATCAAGAGTCCGACGCTTCACTGAATGAGCCTCCCAGGTGTCCCTCTGTCCCCCCACTTGTGCACGTGCTCTCTCTCTCAATTAAATAAATAAAATCTTAAAAAAAAAAAAAAAGAACAGAGTGCTCTGGTATATTTAATAATTGTCTTGGTGTGTGTGTGTGTGTGTGTGTGTGTGTTAAATGTTCATCCCCGGCTTAAGGCTACTTTTCTCCATATTTACTGTGGGAATCTAGTTGGATTCCATACTGTGGGAGTCCTCCTATGACTGGGCCCCCTGGAGTTTTTAACTTTCAGCATTGTCCACATTGAGCCTCCTGCAGTTCGCCAGTTACAGTTCAGATTTTCCTAATCGTGTACTGGCTCCCCTGGTGGTTTCTGTTTGTGAGTCTCTCCTTGAGACCCTATGTATTTGCCTGTCTCTTCAGTCTTGGGGGCAGCGGTTTGCCCTTTGTCTTCTCTCTCTCATGAATCCAAGCAGCCTTGGTGATTTTCCAGTCTGTTCTACTTTTTACTTGTTAAAGTGGAGTGGAGACTTGCAAGCTCTTAACATGTGGAACCAGAAACCACCAATCCCTGTCTTTTAATTGGTGAGTCTTACTTGGCTAGCCCCTCTTTGTCAACTGCTAAAGCTGTTTTCCTTATACAATTCTCATACTTGTGTAGCACTGACTTTTACTTATAGTTTTAATCTTTTTGACATGAACAGTCTGTGATGTCAACTGCAATTACTGAATACCACTCATTTGAACTGGTGTTTCTTTTTATTATTTTTTGCTTACTCATTATTCAAATTTCTTACTACTTATTTAAAAGTTCTGTATACTTGTATTTCTAATATATTTTATTTCCTCTCTTTAATTGTCTTTAAGAGGGAAGTTTTGTGGATTTTAAACTTTGAATCCTTAAATGTCTGAAAATATCTTTAGCTTTATTCTCCCGTATGAATGCTAATTTTTTTGGTATGTAATTCTGTGTTTCATATAATTTTCAGAACTTCAAAGCTACATCTTCATTGCCTTTTCCACCCTCCCCCTCCCTATCCCCCCTATTCATTGCCTTTTAACTTCAGGTATTGCTGATATCAGTGTATTATCTGTTCAGATTTTATAGGCAATGTCATTTTTTCCCCTCTTAGGTTAAAAATTGAGAAGCAAAGATCTGTAGCCTTATGTTTTCTATTTTGTTTTTGTTTTCTTGAGAATAATAAGAATAATCCTATTAGAATTCATTTAAATTTGAGGGTAGTTAAAGAGTATTATTGTATTTATTTATTTATTTATTTATTTATTTTTTTTTTTTAAGATTTTATTTATTTATTTGAGAGAGAGAATGAGACAGAGAGAGAGAGAGCACGAGAGGGAGGAGGGTCAGAGGGAGAAGCAGACTCCCCGCCGAGCAGAGAGCTCGATGCGGGACTCGATCCCGGGACTCCAGGATCATGACCTGAGCCGAAGGCAGTCGCTTAACCAACTGAGCCACTCAGGCGCCCCAAGTATTATTGTATTTAAAAAAATTGACCAAACTCCCATGTTTCCCCCAAATCTTAAGTTTAGTAAAGGTAAGGGTCCTTTAGAGGTAAATAGTGTTCCCTCCTGTTGCTGTTCTACAATGTTTTTAAATATTTGCATCAGTGAGTAATGTCCCAACTTCCTAAGGTAGCATATTCTCCTACCCCTTTTTTGGCTATTCCCAAATTTATATATTTTGAATTGGATTATGACTTCCTGAACAATTTGTGTATTTTCTTCTCAATGGAACAGTTCAAATTAAAGCTCTTCCAGGCAGTTTGAATTTTAGTTTAAATGATGAATTATATACAGTATCTTTTTTTTATACCTACAATTTTTATTGGTGTTTCAAAAGTTATAACTGCTTTTTACTTGTGTTAGTTGAAGATTATGTAATAACCTTGGTGTTTTAAACTGCTAAGTATCTTCAACTATTTTTTTATTTAGTGAATGTTTTTTTCAACTTAGACCGAGTGTGGACAGTAATGACCTCGCGTTTCCGATTGCCTGCTGGCAGAACCTACAATGTACGAGCATCAGAGTTGGCCCGAGACAGACAGCATACGGAGGTGGTTTGCAACATCCTTCTTCTGGATAACACTGTACAAGCTTTCAAAGTTAATGTAAGTATTTTATGTCTTTTTTCTTTTAATAATTTCTGAGTTTAGATTATATTTTAAAACTGTAACTGTTTAATTGAGGTATAGTTTGAAAAGCCTTATTCAATGAAGAAAGTCTTTTTAGTATATGGGTTTTTAAGCTTCTAGTATAAGTTCTGATTTAAACTGGGTCTCTCAGGGGGCGCTTGGGTAGCTCAGTTGTTAAGTGTCTGCCTTTGGCTCAAGTCCATGATCCTAGGGTCCTGGGATTGAGCTCCACGTCGGGCTCCCTGCTCGACGGGAGGCCTGCTTCTCCCTCTCCCACTCCCCCTGCTTGTGTTCCTGCTCTTGCTATCTCTTTCTCTGTCAAATAAATAAAATCTTAAAAAAAAAAAGAGAGACTTAAATTAAAATAGATAAATAAATAAAAATAAATTGGGTCTTTCAAGAAGTTGACAAATGAACAGTGCATTATGATTAGTGGAGCAGATCAGTAGTATGTGGGTGGTTTTTATAAATGTGCTTGAGGTGCTTGAAAGGAATTTGTTCTCCTAAATAATTTATACATCTTGTTTGTAATCTTTCTTGTATTGTCTGTGAATAAAACTTGCTAAACAAAGATAAAGGACAGTCCTGATCTTATCTGAGTCTTGTCTGAAATATTTATTCAACAAATATTTGTTCATCCTATTTATATCTATCTTTATTTGCTTAACATTATTGGGAGTTTCACCCTGGGTATGCTAACAGTTGTTGGTTCTTTTTCATTGCTGTATAGTACTCTAGTGTATGAATACACCACAGTTTACTTAATCGTTTTTTTGTCTCCATTTACTTGTCCAGTGTACTATTGGTGTATATTTGGATTTTTTCTACTTCGGGCTCTTGTCAGTCACATTACTGTGAACATTCCAAGACAAGGAACACACCCTTGTCATACACCTTAAACTTACACAGTGTTGTGTGTCAATTTTATGTCAGTAAAGTTGGGGAAAATAAAATACTAATCTTCTTTCTTTTACCAGTTTCTTAAGCTTAAAATTTTCTGTATTACCATATAACACGATTGCTAATTTATCTTTTTTTAGTGAAACTCCAGGCCATTTCACATTGGAAAAGGGACTGTAGAGTAGTACCTTTAAGGGTATTATCTAACTTACCCAACTAATGTGCTTTTCCAAAATGTTAAGCTTTAATTTTTTTTGTATTCTGTCAGCTGTTAATAGATAGGTAGTATAGGTTATCAACAAGGGATAATACTCAGTGAAGAGAATTCTTCATAAAAATTTTTAGTTAATGGAAACTCATGTTTTAGGAATTGATACAAGAAAATAAGCCCCTTTTCCTGTTTTTGACTCATTAAAATTCTTTTGGGGGGGTTTAAATAATTCTTAATATTAATTATTATTTACTTTTTATTTTAACTTACAGTTTTGTATTTTTTAAAAAATATTGCAGATGGATTTGCTGTGGTTCCCATCTAGCAAGATATTTTCTGTTGGGCACTTTAGTTAATAATGGAATGTTGTATTTTTCAATGTAGTAAGCAGTGTACGAATTGCTCTTTTAGAGAGACATATTTAATATATTTATGGGTTTTTATTTATTATATATATGTAAATATCAGTTCTAATACAATTGAGTGCATTACTACTAGAATGATAAATATTATATGATACTAGAAACTTTCTCTACCATTACTACAGGTCATCAACAAACTTAAGAGGAACAATATGAGAAATTGACTGTTGGATAAGTAGTATATTTATTCCTTTCGGTATTTGGACCCAAGTCATTCAGAATGTCCGAGTTGCTTTGTACTTTTGTGTAGATGCTGCATATTTTAATCTATGCATATGGCTCTCTGGTTATGCCGTTTACAATCTGTACAGCATTGTGTAATCTAGCCTGCACATTAAGAGGGGAGTTTGAATCTCTGGTATTCTCTGTGTCCACTAAGTACCATTAAGTCTCAGAAGTACCCACTGTGGGCAGCTGCTAGTTTCACCAGCATCTCTCTATTCACTAGGAAGGAGAACTGCTCAGTTTCCTCTGGAGATTACCATGCAGTGATTTGTAACATCTTAGCTTTTGGAATCATTCCCTTCCCTGAAAGATTTCTGTACCAGAAATGACATGTTTATTGTTGCCAAAGTCTGCTTTTTTTCCATCTGGTATTCATCTCATCAAAACCTTTTCTATATATTTTCCTGGGAGAAAGTGATGTAATAAAGGAGTTGATACAACCTCATTAGTTCCTTTTTTTCTTTCTCTGTTGTAGACACAGGATTGAGATAAGCCTATTAGCATTGCTTCAGTTTGAAGTTCCAGTTTCACTGTGGTTTTGGCACAACCATTTATTTTACTATAGCCAGCCTATGGAGTGTGTTTTTTCTCTCATGTCCTTGAGTTCATTGTCAAGCACTAAAAACATGTTTCCATTCAATACCTCAGCTAGAAGACTCAAAGGCTGGAGGCTAGAATCATTTGAAGGTTTATTCACTCTTATGACTATTACCTGAGACCTTAGCTGAGGCTTAAACACCTGTATGATCTGTCTGTGTGCCCTGGGCTTCTTCACAGCACAATGGCTGTATTCCAAAGATGAGCATCCATAGAGAGAGTGGGAGCCAGGCTGTAGCCATATTGCCTTTTGTGATCTGGCTGTGGAAGTCACATAATATCACTTCCACCACATTCAGTTTGTCAGTGCTATCACAAGGTCACACTCAGGATCAATGGAAGGGAAATTTATTCAGCACACATTATTCAGTGTACAGTTCCTTTTTTTTTTTTTTTTTTTTGTAAAGAATGTCCTGTGTTTACTACCTAATTTGGGACTTATGTAATTATAGCCTGTAAAATATTATGAAAATAACAATATCCCATCAATGTATGGTGTCAAATTTTTGAATTTTTGCATCTGAGAGGTGAGAAATGGTATATCAAGGTACAGTTT